TTATTGGAGTTATTAATAAGTTTAAGAAAAAAATTTAAGGTGACATTTCGTTAAGGTGCTCATGAAGAAACTTGAAACCTAAAATATCACTCTTCCCATAAAATATTAATACTCTTGTGTTTTCTATTAGCTTCCATTTCATTTTCCTCTCTCTAATACATAACTTTAGTTTTCTTGACTAGGCACCCATATATATATATATATATATAATTTGGTCTTTATATATATTTAGAGTTTTTTAAAATTATTTCATTTTCTGTTAATTGGGTTTGAAGAGATAATAAGATATTGTTTTGAAAAGATAAGATTTTGCTTTGCTTCATGAAATTAATTCATCGGATATGCATATACATAATTAATTGAATATAACTTTTTTTCTTGTCTGATTTTATATGTATTACAATTTAATGGTTTGGGTTCTATATATATATATATATATATACACATTTATGTTCGCAGGGTCTAAGCAGGAGAATTATATCTGGAGAATTGAGTGCACCACAATTTATTTTTTCTAGGTTGAAGGAATATCAGCTGTTCATGCATGGCTTTAGCTTTATTAATCTTTTCGATATTGCTACCTTTCTGACATCTTGCCCTAACCTGGAAAGATTCTTCATTGATGTAAGTACTTTCACTACATATACCCTACAACTCGACTTAATTATATGTATATATATAATAACGTCTTGTTCTGAATGTATATATATTTGTGATATATTTTTAGATATATTTGGTGGTTTTTTTTTTTTATAAACTACTAATTATATGAATAAAATAAAATTATCATTGCAGCTGAATAGCTTCAACTTCGTCCGCACAACTTATTGGGAGCTTCATCAAAAGAATGAACTTGATAGACTTGTTCCGAATCTATATACGATCAAGTTTATCAAGATATTAGGTTATAAATTTGATGAACATGAAATAGAATTAGTGTTGTTTTTTCTGAGGAAGACAATCAACTTGGAGAATTTAGTTCTTGTAACTCCTAAGAAAGATGCTCTGAAAATTGATGTCAATCGTGCATACTATTACCGCAGGCTTTTTTATTTCTCGAGAGTATCGAAACAAGCTCGAATACTTCTTTACGAGTCTTCCAACGATGTTGAAACTCCTCGTCCGATGCATACAAAAACTTGGTTTCACTCACTTTGGGCTTCCAAGTAACTGAAAACTTCGATCGATCTTCATGAAACCGAAGCCTAGCCTAGCTACCTCCTTATATTTCAATATACATATCATGGATCTTGTGTTTAATACTCTTTGATTTGTCTTTTGAGTGATTAAGACAATTTTCTTTTGTATGTTGTTTTTTTTTTTTTTTTTGGATTTAATGGATTTTATGTGTTAAAGTTATGACTTGAATAAAAACCTTTATTGTTATCTTCATGGATTAAATTTTATATATTTTTTGTAATGATTTGAATTTATGCCAATTAGAGAAGCTTATAACTCTATGCATATTAGAAAAATTATATCTGGTAGAAGTAAAAATGAATTAGAAGATTTCATAAATGTAATTCGTATATTTTATTTATTTTTATAAAAATTAAAATAAACCAATTAGATTTATAAAGTTTGTAAAAATAACATAAAGTGATTATTATGCTAGAAAGTGTGTAAAGGCCCCGGAAATTTAAAATGAAATGTGTATTAAAAATATCAAATGCGGAAGCGAAGTCAAAATTTCGATTAACATCCCTTACACTAAAACCAAAAACGTGCTCACAAAATATAAAAGATCAAACTAAATAAAGGAGAACTCGAAAGTAAAAGCTATGAATATGACTATGGAGTCTTTAGGTGTCCCCTTCATCGTCCTCCTGCGGAACGGACTCGGGAACAATGTTTTCCTGATCTGAAATGATTAAATAAGGAATGAGCTACACTAGCCCAGTAAAGACATCACGATATCTCACCGTCACGGAGGTAAAGGTGGGTAGAAAACACAAAAAGACCAATGGAGCATAATTTACAACAAATTCTTTTGCCAATAATAAATCATTTACCATCCACTCACCTCGGTGAAATTCATAAAACAATATACGAAAGTAATAACATTATCATCATTATGAAATCATATAAACTGTATAACATAATACTTATCACGCCTTTTGTAATTCAATCATTACACAACATATTTTCCTCATTTACCAGTCTACTAGTATCCATGGGGATCCATAGGGGTCCCGCTACCCGTTAACCCTTAACACTTAAAACCAGATTCCAGGGCCGTCCCCATACCCCATCCGGTATGGGCGCCAAAACTATAAACCTCATTACCCCGTCCAGTATGAGGGTGAAACGGGCCGTCCCCATACCCCGTCCGGTATGGGCGCCAAAACACATAAGGTCTCCATACCCCGTCCGGTATGAGAGACCACCATCTCGGTAGGGTTCCCTACGGACCCGGTCCGTCCACCATCTCCCAGGATATCTAGTCAGGCTGACCATGTAACGGCCCCGGAAAATATTAAAAAGAAATGAGTATTTAAATATATCGAATGCGGAAACGAG